TTGTTGTTGCTTGTGTAGGGTTTTGCTTGTGCTGTGTTGTTTGATTGCGCTGTTGTTCTGCTGCTGGGGTGTGTACTGTGTGCTGTGTGTGCTGCTGTGTGCTTTTTTCTCGTGTGCTGTGTTTGCTGCTGGCTTGTTTGTGTGCTGTCTTTTGGGTGATGTGGCTGTGTGCCTTTGGGTTTTGCTGCTGTGGGGGACTGTGTTTTGATTTGTGTGCTGTGTGTGCTGCTGTGTGTGTGTTTATTGCTGTTATGTGTGTGTGTATTTGCGTTGTTTTTCTTGTTGTGCTTTTTGTGTTTGCTGTTGTGCTTATGTTACTGCTTTTTGTTTTTATGCTGTTGTGTTATTGCGGTGTGTTATTACGGTTTGCTGGTTTTCCGTGTGATTGTTAAATTTGGCTTGGCGTGTTATTTTCGTGTGCTTTTATACGTTTGTGGGGGTACTGTTTGGGCTGTTTGTGCGGGGTCTTTTGATCTGGTGCAGTTTTGTTGGTGAGGTTGTGGCCGGTTGCGTTTTTGGGGTTGTGTGTATGTGTTGTGCGCTGGGCTTGTTGTGCGCTCGTGCTTGTTTGTATGGTATGTGTGTTGTTACTCTTGTGTGTGTTTGTTTCGCGAGGTTTTTTTGTTTGACGTTGGCTGGTGTTGTGTTGCACTCTTTTGGGGTTTTATGTGTATGTGTGTTGCTTGCGGGGGTTGTTTGAGTTGTAGCTTTTGACAGTTGCGGGGGACTCTGTATGCTGGAATATGCGGTGTGGGTTTTACTTGCGTTTGCTGGGGCTGCGGGGTTCTGTTTGTTGGGCACTGCTGTGTGTGTTTTGATTTTGGCGTATGTGTGTTTTTGCCCCGGTTTTTCGGTTGTAGGGTTTGTGTTTTGGTTGTACGCGGGGTTCTGTTTTTGGCCGTTTGGGTTTTCAAACTCGACATATAATAAATGTATTTCGTTATAATGTTCATAGATATAGATGTATGACATTGGCAGGAATGAATGTTAATTAAACGAAAGTTTGCATGGAGTTACCACAGTGTGTTATTTGTTTCAAAGTTTTGGGGAAAGACTCACTGAAGCCAACTAAGCTTAAACTTCATCTCGAAAAGTGCCATCCCAATTTAGGATAAAGATTATTTCGTGCGGCAGTTATCACTGTTCACTGGGCAGCACCTTGATGCGACAGGTACATTCTATGAAAAAAACACCAATGCAGTGCACGCTTCCTACAGTGTCGCAGACATAGTCGCACAGGCCAAGAAGCCTCATAGGATTGTGGAGAAACTTGTGTTATCCTGTGCGAAAGAAACAGTGAGGCTTGTTGTCGGCGAGGACGACGCAGCATGGACGCTGAGTGATGTATCAGTTTGTAATGATACAGTGTTGAGACGGATAAATGAGATCTCACAAAACATTCGTGAATAAGTTGTGGATGAAATAAAGAAATCTCCAGTGTTTGTCATACAGTTGGATGAATAAAGTGATGTCTCACTCTTCTCAGCTATTCGTATTTGCACGATACATGGCTGAGGGAGACTTTAAGACGAGTTCTGAGGGAGACTTTAAAGACGAGTTGCTGAGGGAGACTTTAAAGACGAGTTGCTGAGGGAGACTTTAAAGACGAGTTGCTGAGGGAGACTTTAAAGACGAGTTGCTGAGGGAGACTTAAAGACGAGTTGCTGAGGGAGACTTTAAAGACGAGTTTCTATTTTGTAAGAGCTGATAACACCACAAAGGCTCAGGATGTGTTAGAAATTATTAGCAATTTCTTAGGAGTAAATGGTTTGGATTGGGTAAATTTGTTGGGTAATACCACTGGTGTTCCAGACGTTGTGCAGGAGTTCTTGAACCTGAAAAATTATTTGGCAGCTAAAGATGTGTACCAGCGGTCTACCATGGAAAATTTTTGGGCCAGTACGATTGTTACTCAAGTTTGTCAACACATGCAGTAAGATTTCGTTTGCCATTTGCGTCAGCTTACATGTGTGAGAATGGATTTTCATATTTGTTGCACATTAATTAAGTCCAAATAGAGGAATAGGCTTGCAGTAGAAAGCGATATTCGTTGTGCATTATCAAGTACCACTTCTAACATTATTAAGTACCACTTCTAACATTATTAAGTACCACTCCTAACATTATCAAGTACCACTCCTAACATTATCAAGTACCACTCCTAACATTATCAAGTACCACTCCTAACATTATCAAGTACCACTCCTAACATTATCAAGTACCACTCTAACATTATCAAGTACCACTCCTAACATTATCAAGTACCACTTCTAACATTATCAAGTACCACTCTAACATTATCAAGTACCACTTCTAACATTATTAAGTACCACTTCTAACATTATCAAGTACCACTCTAACATTATCAAGTACCACTTCTAACATTATCAAGTACCACTCTAACATTATCAAGTACCACTCCTAACATTATCAAGTACCACTTCTAACATTATCAAGTACCACTCTAACATTATCAAGTACCACTTCTAACATTATCAAGTACCACTTCTAACATTATCAAGTACCACTCTAACATTATCAAGTACCACTCCTAACATAATCAAGTACCACTTCTAACATTATCAAGTACCACTCTAACATTATCAAGTACCACTTCTAACATTATCAAGTACCACTTCTAACATTATCAAGTACCACTTCTAACATTATCATGTACCACTCCTAACATTATCAAGTACCACTCCTAACATTATCAAGTACCACTCCTAACATTATCAAGTACCAATCCTAACATTATTAAGTACCAATCCTAATATTATCAAGTACCAATCCTAACATTATCAAGTACCAATCCTAACATTATCAAGTACCACTCCTAACATTATCAAGTACCAATCCTAACATTATCAAGTACCACTCCTAACATTATCAAGTACCAATCTTAACATTATCAAGTACCAATCCTAACATTATCAAGTACCAATCCTAACATTATCAAGTACCAATCCTAACATTATCAAGTACCAATCCTAATATTATCAAGTACCAATCCTAACATTATCAAGTACCAATCCTAACATTGAAAAGCTTATCAGTAAGAAGAGGCTCAAAAGTCTGGTTACAAGGAAAAGTGAAATAATCAAATTTCGTAGAAAAATGTTCGCAGAATACTTTATAATTTCAAAATTGTTTGTTAGAAAGAAATCTCACAGAAAATGTTATATATGTATTCATATATTTCCAGATAATTTTTCTGAAATATATTTCAGTCCAAAATGTTAAATATTTATTATTTTTTATAACTTCTCAAATTTCTGTTTATAAAAAATATGTTCCAAATCAAACTGTCTGTTGTCTTTGATTTGCCTTTATATATCATTACTCAAAAAATGAAATGGTCCACGATATTTTTATAATTGAGTTGGTGGTCCATGGGCTGAAACTGGTCTAGAGTCATGAGACCAAAGAGCAAAAATGCCATCTACATAGCTGAGCCAGAGTGAAGGGCGAATATCAATAGTAGGAAGATGCCCTTAATAATCTTGCCCCTTCCATTAAGTTTAAAGTTAAATGGGAATCTAATTAAATTCTTCCTCCCCTTGATGTTCATGTCCACCGCTCAGATACAGGTTTCGCATTTTCCGTTTACCACAAACCTATGCACAGTGGCATGTACATTCACTACTTTTCTTATCATGTTTCCTCTGTTAAGAAAAGTTTTCTTATCTCCCCCTTTCTCTGTGCTCTCCTTATTTGTGATCCTCAGATCCTTGAATTAGAAATTTCCACTCTTCATAATTAATCTTCTCTTGGCTACCCTTTCCATTTGTGCTAAACGGACTTTCTTCTCTCCCAAACGCTCTACTCCTGTTAACTCTCCTGTCCTCTGCCTTTCCTATATTTCCGGTCTTTCTGATCTCAACAACTCACTCCGTTCCTTAGACATCCAACTTACTTTTCGCCAGACTAACACTCTTCTCAACAATCTAGTTCATACCTCTCCTACCTCTCTAGATGCTCCTGGTGTCTACTGTATTTCTTGTTCCTCTTGTCCTCTTCAGTAATTTGGAGAAACTGGCCGTTTTCTTTCTGACAGACTTAAGGAACACAAAAGTAGTGTTAGGCTTGCTGACACCACCATTGCTCTTTTCTGTCATGTTAGAGATCACAGTCATCCCATTGACTAGTCTTCTGCTAAAACTATCTACCCTACGTCTAACCTTCACAGTCGCCGTCTTGTTGAATCCTCCCTTATACATAACTTTCCTTATATAAATCTTAGTCGCGGATTTGTCTCTGTAGATGACTTAATTTCCCATTATCTTGTAAAATGCTCCAAACTTCAGAACACCTGCGACTTAACCTGATTCTCTTTTCCCCTTCCCCTTTCCTCTTTATTCTATCTCTGTATTTTTTTTCTTCTGCCTTGGGTATTTGGTCCATTAATATTATTTTCCCATCTCTGTGTTCTTGTTCCTACCCTTTGTGGGCCCCTAGCTCCCTTATGTGCCCTTAGCTCCTTTGCAGTGCTCCTCCTTCTTAGTCTTGGACTGATTCCACTACTAGTACTACTAGTACTACTACTACTACGACTGCTGCTACTACTACTACTACTACTGATAAATTAGACACATGTGCAACACTTGGGTATCTTTATTGAGGAAACGTTTCTCAACAAAGTGGCTTCATCCGTCCATACAAAGGAGAACATTGGTTCTCTTAACCATTCATCTACACTACTATTACTATCATTACCTCTACCACTACCTCTCTTCCTCCTTTCCTACTATCTCTCATGTCCCGTCCCTGTCTGCTGGCCTATATATACTCCCTCCTCTCTTTTTTGTTAGTGTGACTTTGTAAATGGTCCAAGTCGGGTCGAAATATCGTCGTAAGCTCCTTTCTCCTATGTGCGGGTTATTTGTGAATTGTTCCACTCACGGTAATGTGCATTTTTGTTATTTAGAAACCTCACTAAACCTAACTTAGAAACCTAGCCTAACCTTACCGCTTCTGTCGATAAAGGTGCCTCCACTTACCTCATATCTGCAAAGTGGGAGAACAGCAGTGTCGTGTGTAGTGTACTTGAGTGCCTCAGAGAGAGCATTCAGCTACTGACAGGCGTTTCCCTGACCATCCACTTATATATGGCCAGTGTCAGGAAGTGACGTTAGAAGTATGGCCGCCGCTGCCACGGACAACAAACCAACTAATCAATTATTTCTTTGGGTAGGCTGTGCTTTTTCATTGTTAGATTTAGGCCTATGATTTACTTGGAAGAAGGATTGCTGGCAAACAGCTCTTGGACCTAAGAACTGAAGATGCTTATATTCTTCCTTGTATTAAACCTGAGGTGTTCCATAGCTCGATTGCTGGCGCACTGAGGTTCGTTGTTCGATTCCCGGTACAGGTGAAACATAAGGACGTGTTTCCTTAATTAAGGCACCTGGTATCACTGTTCACCTAGGAGTAAGTAGGTACCTCGGTGTTAGTCGACAGTGTGGGTCGCATTCTGAGGACAAAATTAACCTAATTTGCTCGATGTGCTCTGCATAACGAGTAGCTTTCTAAATAATATGCCACTGATGTCAGCTATGGTCTGTATAAGTTACATCATGTACTTACAGAGATAATAATAATTATAATAATTTTTTTATTAATTTTATTAACACACTGGCCGATCCCACAGCGTGGAGCCAAGCCTGAAAAACTTTCACCCCCTCTCAACCTTTCCTCCCCCTGTCCTTCCACACAATTGGATGCTTTAGTCATACTGTTTTTAACTGCAACATTAACACCCACAACCTTCAGCTGCATGGCAATGTACTTCCCTTCTCCAACTCAATTCCCTGCATTTTCCCAATTCCCTCATACATAATTACTTCCCTCACCTTCTCCTCGCTGCAACGTCAAAGTATCACACCCATTTGGTTTAAAATTCTCCTATAACATTCCGCATTGCCCCGAAGGTCCAAGTCCTCGCCATGGAAACTCTCTTTTACCCCCTCCAGTGTATACCTTCCCTGGGTCCTGCCCCTCTCACCAGCCTTCAGTTCCCTAACCCTTTGATGGCCCTCTTGGTCATTCTGTTTTCCCCTCCATATTCTCCTTTACTTATATCCACCCTCATAAGTACCCTTCCTCAGCCCTCTGGAAAACAGTTTTGGCAATCCCGCACCTCCTCTTAACTTCCAAACTACGAATTCTCTGAATAATATTCTCACCACACATTGCCCTCAGACATGACATCTCCACTGCCTCCAGCCTTCTCCTCGCTGCAACATTCATCACCCACGCTTCACACCCATATAAGAGCGTTGGTAAAACTATGCTCTCATACATTCCCCTATTTGCCTCCAAGGTCAAAGTTCTTTGTCCTTGGAGCTCTTTTCTGTACCCTCTCCAGTGATAGTACCATCCTGGTAGTTCTTTTCTGTACCCTCTCCAGTGATGGTACCAGCCTGGTAGTTCTTTTCTATACCCTGTCCAGTGATGGTACCATCCTGGTAGTTCTTTTCTATACCCTCTCCAGTGATGGTACCAGCCTGGTAGTTCTTTTATATACCCTCTCCAGTGATAGTACCATCCTGGTAGTTCTTTTCTATACCCTCTCCAGTGTGATGGTACCAGCCTCGTAGTTCTTTTCTATACCCTCTCCAGTGATGGTACCAGCCTGGTAGTTTTTTTCTATACCCTCTTCAGTGATGGTTCCAGCCTGGTAGTTCTTTTCTGTACCATCTGCAGTGATAGTACCATCCTGGTAATCTGTTTTCTGTACCCTCTGCAGTGATAGTACCATCCTGGTAATCTTTTCTGTACCCTCTCCAGTGATGGTACTAGCCTGGTAGCTCTTTTCTGTACCCTCTCCGGTGATGGTACTAGCCTGGTAGTTCTTTTCTGTACCCTCTCCAGTGATTGTACCAGCCTGGTAGTTCTTTTCTGTACCCTCTCCACTGATTGTACCAGCCTGGTAGTTCTTTTCTGTACCCTCTCCAGTGGTGGTACCAGCCTGGTAGTTCTTTTCTGTACCCACTCCAGTGATGGTACCAGCCTGGTAGTTCTTTTCTGTACCCTCTCCAGTGATGGTACCAGCCTGGTAGTTCTTTTCTGTACCCTCTCCAGTGATGGTACCAGCCTGGTAGTTCTTTTCTGTACCCTCTAAAGTGATGGTACCAGCCTGGTAGCTCTTCTCTCTTCCCCCAGAAAAGGAAGAGAGGGAGAGAAGAGGAGGGAGAAGAGGGGAGGGGAGAGAGGGAGACAGAGGGGAGGGGGATGAGAGGGGAGAGAGGGAGATAGGGAAGAGGGGAGGGGAAGAGAGAAAGAGGGGAGGGAGAGAGGGAGACAGAGGGAGGGGAGAGAGGAGACAGAGGGGAGGGGAGGATAGGGAGACAGAGGGGAGGGGAGAGAGGGTGAAGAGAGGAGGGGAGAAAGAGAGAAAGAGGGGAGGGGAGAGAGGGAGACAGAGGGGAGGGGAGAGAGGGAGACAGAGGGGAGGGGAGAGAGGGAGAAAGAGGGGAGGGGAGAGAGGGAGACAGAGGGGAGGGAAGGAGAGGGAGACAGAGGGGAGGGGAGAGAGGGAGACAGAGGGGGAGGGGAGAGAGGGAGACGGAGGGGGAGGGGAGAGAGGGAGACAGAGGGGAGGGGAGAGAGGGAGACAGAGGGGAGGGAAGAGAGGGAGACAGAGGGGAGAGGAGAGAGGGAGACAGAGGGGAGGGGAGAGGGAGAGACAGAGGGGAGGGGAGAGAGGAGAGAGGGAGACAGAGGGGGAGGGAAGAGAGGGAGACAGAGGGGAGGAGGAGAGAGGGAGACAGAGGGGAGGGGGAGAGGGGGGAGACAGAGGGGAGGGGAGAGAGGGAGACAGAGGGGGGGGGAGAGGGGGGAGACAGAGGGGAGGGGGAGAGAGGGGAGACAGAGGGGAGAGGGGAGAGAGGGTGAGAGAGGGGAGGGGAGAGAGGGAGACAGAGGGGAGGGGAGAGATCAAGTTGTAGATATTAGCTGTTGATCTTCACAAGCAACACCTGCGTCCACCAACACCTGCGACCACCATCCAACACCTGTGGTAAACATACTTAATCCTCACTACGAAACAAACTCTTACGCATAAGTTGCTAAAAATATTGCTAGCAATATTGCCGAAGTCTTGCAAAGAGAAAAAAAATATTTTACAGTGTGTTCTGAGGCTAGCTGGTACGTATGTGTACGTACATGAACGTACATGTACGTACATGTGACTGTTGCAAGCCACCACAAGTGTACATTTACGTACATGTACGTACATGTGACTGTTGCAAGCAACCACAAGTGTACATGCACGTACATGTACGTACATGTGACTGTTGCAAGCCACCACAAGTGAACATGAACGTACATGTACGTACATGCACGTACATGTACGTACATGTACGTACATGTGACTGTTACAAGCCGCCACAAGTGTACATGTACGTACATGTGACTGTTACAAGCCACCACAAGTGTACATGTACGTACATATACGTACAAGTGATTGTTACAAGCTACCACAAGTGTACATGTACGTACATATACGTACATGTGACTGTTACAAGCCACCACAAGTGTACATGTACGTACATGTGACTGTTGTAAGCCACCACAAAATGTTAATGCACGTACATGTGACTGTTACAAGCCACCAAAGTGTACATTGTACATGTACGTACATGTGACTGTTACAAGCCACCACAAGTGTACATGTACGTACATGTGACTGTTACAAGCCACCACAAGTGTACATGCACGTACATGTGACTGTTACAAGCCACCATAAGTGCTACAATGTACGTACATGTGACTGTTACAAGCTCACCCCAAGTGTACATGTAAAAGAGTACATGTGACTGTTACAACCACCACAAGTGTACATGTTTGTACGTACATGTGACTGTTACAAGCACCACAAGTGTACATGTACGTACATGTAGACTGTTACAAGCCACCCCAAGTGTACATGTACGTACATGTGACTGTTACAAGCCACCACAAGTGTACATGTACGTACATGTGACTGTTACAAGCCACCACAAGTGTACATGTACGTACATGTGACTGTTACAAGCCACCACAAGTGTACATGTACGTAATGTGACTGTTACAACCACCACAAGTGTACATGTACGTACATGTGACTGTTACAAGCCACCACAAGTGTACATGTACGTAAATGTGACTGTTACAATCCACCACAAGTGTACATGTACGTACATGTGACTGTTACAAGCCACCACAAGTGTACATGTACGTACATTTTGACTGTTGCAAGCCACCACATAGTATTGTAGTACATGTGACTGTTTACAAGCCACCACAAGTGTACATGTACGTACATGTGACTGTTACAAGCCACCACAAGTGTACATGTACGTACATGTGACTGTTACAAGCCACCACAAGTGTACATGTACGTACATGTGACTTTTTACAAGCCACCACAAGTGTACATGTACGTACATGTGACTGTTACAAGCTACCACAAGTGTACATGTACGAACATGTACGTACATGTGACTGTTACAAGCCACCACAAGTGTACATGTACGTACATGTGACTGTTACAAGCCACCACAAGTGTACATGTACGTAAATGTGACTGTTACAATCCACACAAGTGTACATGTACGTACATGTGACTGTTACAAGCCACCACAAGTGTACATGTTTCGTACATGTGACTGTTACAAGCCACCACAAGTGTACATGTACGTACATGTGACTGTTACAAGCCACCACAAGTGTACATGTACGTACATGTGACTGTTACAAGCCACCACAAGTGTACATGTACGTACATGTGACTGTTAAAAAGCCACCACAAGTGTACATGTACGTACATGTGACTGTTACAAGCCCCACAAGTGTACATTATACGTACATGTGACTGTTACAAGCCACCACAAGTGTACATGTACGTACATGTGACTGTTGTAAGCCACCACAAGTGTACATGTACGTACATGTGACTGTTACAAGCCACCACAAGTGTACATGTACGTACATGTGACTGTTACAAGCCACCACAAGTGTACATGTACGTACATGTGACTGTTACAAGCCACCACAAGTGTACACAAAATTACAAACAATTTCTTCTTTTTCTTCATCAAATGTACTGTAGTACTTATATACTGTTATAAA